TCGATTCCGAGCCATGTCACCTAGATTCTTCAACCATTTGTTACGATAGTCGCTTTGACCCCAACCAAATATTCTGCATCTACCAACATGACTCAGACGAGAAGTTGGTGACTTCATGGACTGATGCCACATTTTGATTTGGCCGCCCCTAACCTTCTTCCAACCACCCCCAACACTAGTCAGCATTGCACGTTGTGGTAAACAGTGTTCAGTCATACGTAACACGTGGCCCGACCATCTCAGTCTATGAAGATTTACGACCTCATCAACTGATTCACCGTCATTCCTTAATACCCTGCATGTAACCTCACTATTACTTACCCGATGATCCCAGCAGATGCGAGTAGTATTTCTGGAACATCTGTGATCAAATACTAGTAGTTTACAAGTATCTTCAACTCTAAATGACTACATTTTGCATCCGTAATATAGAACAGAACGAACTGCGTCCAGTGAGGTGCAAACAAATGAGTGCTCGTATTAGAGCATGATCACAGTCTAAAGGTGTATTCCAGAACGAGCGACAGTCTTCTTTCGAGCCTCTCCCACAATGACTGATGGCAGTATGGTCTATTTGAGTTCATCGTTGGCTATGAAGGATCTACCTAGGGGGCTTGGGAAACCCTGATTCTAAACCAATGTTGTAAATGGGCTCCAGGATCCTGAGGAAACAAATGGCGTATCAACCTATTGTTGGTCACTGGTTACCATGGGACTGCATCTCCTTACATTGCTCCTCTGCCTTGTGGGTTATACCTTTATGTATAACGTTCGGGGTGTGGCTCTCTAAGAAAACCATCTACTTCGGTTTGGGCACCTGTGAAGTATCCTAGCCCTCACACAAATCAAATGATTTATATGGTGGCTCATATCTATTTGGTGTCTTCTTGTACCAACGTTTATGTGTTTAAATAAATAAATAAAATAAAACATCATTGGTTTGGTGCAGGCTGTCGCCATTTTAGACCATGTCTCTCTTTATGCTTGAAATTAGTACTAGCTTAAAATAAACGATTGTCTGAGCACAGTTGCAGCAGACGATCACAATTATTTTTTAGCTGAACAGGAATACTAAAATACACACTCAAATGTCTTTCTGATTGGTTTAAGCTACCTACTTGGGCATTAAAGTCACCTTCTACGAGTACTATGTCTGAGTGTTAGTTCACTTTTCACTTCATCCAGGCTGCAGTCAGTGGTAGCGTAGTCAGAAATTACGAAAAAGCAACGACGTGTGTCCCTATCCTTCCGAGTTCTTACGGAGCACATAGGTGACTATTAACAAGGATCCATTCTAAAAGTGCTTCTCCTTCCTTCCTATTTAGTGCAATGCCTACACCCGCCAGTCCATGGGGACTTGTTGGGTTGCCAGATAAACGGAGGGTTTCCCGTATTGTTGAGGTGAGGTAAAGTGAATGACCACACTAGGATCCTGTATGCATGTTTCGGAGATAGTAATTTTCGTGTTAGCTCCGTACTTATTGGAACCTTACCTTCGGAGACGAAAATCTGTAGGATAAAGCGAGGTATGGATTTCTAGGGTCGACCATTTCTAACACCACCCTTCCTTGTGGGAATTCAGCATCGCTGTTATGCTGTTTCTGAGACAAACACTTGGTTGCTGTCATACTTCTTTACTCTCAGTAGTACGACTTCACCCTCGGACCATGGGTGTGCTGCATTTACTCTTATCGTCGTCCAACCGATCTGCCTGGCATGGTAAGACATTGAGGAACGATTGTTCCAGCTAGTATAACCCGATTAGTTCATCACGATAGGCAAGCACAACCACAACGTCAAGGTAGCAGCAACAGTGGGCGTTACACAGTCATAAAATAGTTTTTCTTTGAATAATTTTAATTTCTTTTCCACTTCTATTGGAGAGATGACCAAATAAATTGTTACTAGACAAAATTATTAAAATCAAACAATCTCAAGGGTGTAATAAATAAATTTAAAAATATCACTATTGCAAAGTAAATCAAATAGAAATGCATTTTTATTTATGGTAAATTCTGTAATTTTCTTCTAAGTGAAAATTGACTAAAAAATGTAATATACGATCATCTATTGTGTACATAATAATATGAAACAGAATACAAAATAAATACTAAAAGACAAAAAAATTCGTCATGGCTAACATGATCACCTAATGCACATTTTGTAATATCTGAACTACTTATGCATCGTACAGTATATCGCATTGTGTATTATCAACTGGTTGTCGTGAGTTGGAAATAACATGATTCATTTGAAGGCCATCAGAATAACACATAAATTTTACTACTATGATATAACTGAATAAGTCAGTATGTTCGCCTTGAAGTCAGTGGACCGGTAAATCAATGGTCTTTACATTACCAAATGCATTTTGTGAAGATGGCCAACTGTCTAATTAACATTGAATTTTGAAATGACACGGAACAGTGGCACGTATATGGTAGTTAACTTGACAAATTGATGCTTCACACTTTAAAGTGATAAAGACTATTTGAAAAGGAATGACAACACCTATTTGATTAATTATATAGTACGTTCTGTGTACATACATGACACGATTATATTTTACCTAATACAAGATTGATTATATTGGTATTTCTCTGTACATCGTATAAGTTATTAACTTTTCATCAGCTGAAAGTCAATATAAATATGGTTAAGATTGAGATTTACAAAGGTGTTAAGTAGCTCACAATTTTATTTAAAATGTTCAATTCTTTGTTCACGGTACATAGTGTTTTTACTTAACATAATATATTCTAGGCTCACAAATTATTGATAACAATTAGTATATGATCTCGTACAAAAGCTGTGGTCAGATAATTAGATTGTATCTTGATATTCAAACAAGAATTTCGGTCGATAGTTCATGATGCAAAGGTTTTAGATTTTTTGCTGGTGCTTACTACGATGTGACATTCATTTGTCTACAGTTGTACCTTATGTAATTAATTGATGTTATCAGTTTAGATAGAGATTGATCAGAATATAGTGTCTTTAAACCGATATTTTTCTAGTCGAATAAGAAATTTTTCTCTCATCAGTCAACTCTACTTCTAATTAAATACTTTAAATGAACCTCTTTGTAAATGGTTAAAATATCCACAAAGTATACAGGTTTTTAAAACAGTTATCGCAAAAATACGACCATGATTTTAAGGAAGATCGATTGGTTCAAAAACATACATGATAAAATTGAATTAAAGAACCTTTATAAGGGTTCGAAACAGTTGATATTTATATGTATATAATATTTATGTGCAACAGTCAAATTTGATACCAATAAGATTTTGCAAAATGAGTCTAGTTATAAAATGTTGGATTTAAACATGGAGTTTCCACCAACATTTTTTCTGATAATTTAGTCCTCTATTCTCTGATGTTAATTATGTTTACAGCTGAAGTTGGTTCCTGGTGAAAATTATCTTCAATATGTAAAAACATTTTTAACAAAACAACTTTATCATAGTTGACTTGTGATGAGATAAATTTAGCTAAAGTTCTATCGAAAAATTATAACTTATAAAATCAATCAGACCATAAATGATATAATTAAAAGTTGACGGATATTTAAACTGTAGACAATCAGCTTCGAATTTAATGGTACTCATCGCGAAATCTGAATATTTTATAGTTCGATATTGTATAGTATCGTCACTGCTTGCTATTTAGTTGTTTAAATGGTTCATGCGATGTTGATGTGTGCTGAAGATTGGAAAATCACATAATCTAATTAGTTTTTTTTTTTAAATGCACTTTGTTCATTCACTATTGTTCATAAATCAAAAAACGGTCAAACAGTCCTGTAAAAATGAACATTCGTAATCGATTAGAAATTTCTGAATCCATAGAAATATAATTAATTTTGTATGATGTTAAATAGAAGATGAATTATAAACTTTCATATTGCATGTTTGTTCGATTTGACCAGATAGTAATAATGATAATAACGAATATTATCTTCAGGTCATTGGATTTTCACAGCACTTCTCTTTCATTTCTATTTCCCTACTAATTTCTATGATAAGTTAATTTAGATTTACTGAACCATATGGTTGATTATGTTTGACTGACTGACTTTAAAATAACCAGTCATGTATTGTCTGATTGAAAGACAATCATCAAATATACATCGTATAGGCTAATAATAAATAATTCGTAAGAATAAATTTATCGTTATCCTATGATTGATATGTCGATGTACATTCGATGTTATTTGTTTGGATTTTTTTCGAGTTATCTGAAGTATAGGGTAAATAAACTTTTGCTACGTGATGTGAACCGAGACTGACAATTTCTAGACCATAAATGTATAGCTTATAATTGTTATAAAGCCTGAATATCTTAATTTCAGTTCCATTAAAAAATAGTAACAAAACAAATAATCTAACATAGAATGGAACAATTATTTATTTTTAAGCTTAGTAAATGAAGGGTATATATATATATATATATATATATATATATATATATATATATATATATATATATATATATATATATATATATATATAGTTTTCAAGGGCATATTAAAACAGGCATTGAGAAATTTAAAATTATTTCGCTATAATTGAACAGCATTTTATATGAAATACGCGCACTACATTCAAATGTAGACCTCTCCAGATTAAATCCTTCTGAAGTACGTTTGGGATATATACTAGGAAAGAAATCAAACAATTATTGAAATCAGGTACGGGAAAGTTGTAGTAGTCAAACTTCTTCAAAACAGACAATCTTTTTATCATTTAACTGTTAGCCCACGATTTGCATAAATCGATTGGTTTAAATTTTTGCAGTAAGAATTACAGTTCTCGTTTATCTGAGACTGATGATTTCTTTGTTCATTCTATACGTAGTAATCGCTAAATCAAAGGTCAATTTCATCTGCTTAGTTTTATAACCTTACTGGTCATCCACAATTTAGGAGTGTAACTCTTTAATTTTCATTTCAATGACTTATATTTCATTATTTATTGACAATTTTTCTATTTTGATAGAATAATATCCGCTCATGGACGAATGCCGCGTTTACCTTATCTTGACGAAAGAATTGTGAATTTTTTAGCTGAAATTCCTTTGGAATTTAAAGTAAGTACTTCTGTCAGTGTTCACTCTAAGTACCTTTTATGGTGAATATCAGCACAGCTGAAAATAAGAATTAGTTTACCCGTAACATGAGACTGATAAACAGGTTTTAGTTGAACTCTATTTTCTAAAATGTATTTCCAATGAATCTCTCAAACAACTGTAGAGTGCGATTAAAACTAACTATGCTGTCTTCATTCTTTGATTTTGTAATCTAATTTAAAGTGGGTTGGGAATGAAATCACTTGGATTGGGTTAGTGACCATAGCCCATATCTACGTCTACTTCCGTTTTGGCACCCGGTCGATACATTAATCGTGACACCAAGTAAGAGTGCCACCAAAAACTGATTATGCACATCTGTACGTGTTGAATTAGTCGTAGTTGACATAGATGATTAGTCTTAGTTAGACAACCACTGAGAACCAGAAAGCGTTTAACAGCTATTTCGTCTTATTATAGGACTGATAAGTACGGATTCGCGACCTTATCGGGGATCTAACCCAGTACCTTACATCACACAGTGAGCGCTTAACTGCTGGCGTACTGAGTCGTCATATAGTTTTGATAAAAAGATACAAAATAAAGTGCTATTTTCGAAGTCATGATATGGAATGAGATTTATAATATATATAATACCTGGTATGGTTTAATACTTGTCGTATATTAATCGGCTACACTAACAAAGGGATTTATGTGACTTATATAGCTAACAGATTAATTAATCCTACTAGCGAAGTACAAAATTACTATCACCAATATGAGTTACATTGTTCAACATTACATGATGCTATCAATTTGTAAAGTTTATTTAAGTGCATTTCTAATCATGTGCTTGTTTGAAATTGTTTGACATAAATTAATGAAATGGTTTATTTATAATTGTTAAATCCATAATTAACTTGTACATTACATAATTCCCAGATTTTCAATGAATATATAGTACACTAAATAGATAAATAATTTGATAACTAATGTGTGTTTTACTCTACATACTAGCTTATAATTTCTTAAATGGATTTGATGTTATAAATTAAAAATACCTGTCTAATCTAATTAGATTCTATTTATTTATGACTTCAAATAAGTAATCATAATGAATAGTCACAATTGAGGCAAATGTGTTTTAAATTATAGAGGATCTAAACTTAGAACTGTAAGTGAAATGAATTTGTCAGTGTTTACGGATGTTAAAATGAATGGTAATAAACATTTGGATCGCTTTCTAAATCATATGAAATTCGAATATTTATTAATACCACGATGGTTTCTTATTCCAAACATTTTACATCTAACTACCAACTCATTAGTGGAAATTTTTTAATCCTTCATTCCATACTGATAATTTATATTTGTATTATTTGTTTGTTCGGCAGAAATGATATGAGTTGAGAATAATTAGGGAAGAATATTATTTTCATTTTCAATTACAAAAACTTTACATTTATTAACATTTCCTAGATTTTTGATATACATCTGAATGGGGGTAATACAGAAACTGGTTGTATCAAGTGCTATTGAAACTCTTCATCGTTTTAGACTCATAACTTCACATACTGTTGAATCTCAAACCTTCAGGTTTTAAAGAGAATGTAATAGCATTGAGCTTAATTCCGGTGCTTCATACTGTGGATTTGTCTTATTACACGGGGATAATTAAAGGTTAACAATAATAGATGTCATTAGATCCTATCAGGGGTTGGACTCATAACCTTTAAATCACCTGTCAGTAGTCTCATACTGGAGTGAAACAACTCTCCGGTTCATCGTAATTGTTGTCCATGGTTGTGTAGCCTAGGTTGACTTGTGCTCTCAATAACTTCTGTAATCGTTGATTAAACTGTTTATAATTAATTTAGCCCACTTAGAAAATGATAAACATTTATTTGCAATATATGGTCTTGAACACTGAATTTTGTCCTTTATTATTATTATTATTATTATTATTATTATTATTATTATTATTATTATTATTATTATTATTATTGATATGTATCGTTTCGTCCTAGGCATGCACATACAGGGTTTAGTTAGATTAAGTGGATGGTAATATAATTATATAAATGCATGTATAACTCATCGCGAATTCCATGGGACAAATTAGTTTGTTCATTTGCTGTTTTCCTGTTTATTAATTTATTTACATTTTTCTCGTTACAACGGAAAATCTTTTTATTTATTTATGTGAAATTCCATTATATTATCAACGACATTAATGATGACAACATCCTGAACATTTGTGAAATAATGTTTATTTTGTGTTAAACAATTTTGTTAACTTATTTATGTGTTTTGGAATTTATTTTTTTTTTGTTTTCATGTGTTGTAAATGTGATTTATTCACTATCGGCTTTTGATAATCTATAAATTTATTAGAATGTTATTTTGTGTGTGTACTTTTTTTTTGGTGTCTCTTCGATTTCGTCGTTGAGATGAACAACCAGTAATAAATAATTGGAAATGCTTGTGTTCAATTGGACAACTAGCTCTAACTTTTCATATTTGTTAGTAAACAACAGGATTTGTGAAAACACAATTTTCTCGTCACAATTAAATTTGAGTTACAGTATCGTAATTAAAATTAGTATTGCTTAGTTAATCATAACCTACTGAACCTTCTAATTCATGCTTGGTTGAATGTTTAATGATAGACTTCTCATTAAAATCCTTAGTAGATGTTAGAAGGTATTGGTCACCTACTCAAATCAATCCTTAAATGGAAATAATTTAGAACGTCAGAGTCATCTAATCAACCGGTTATATTACAAAAAATTTGCCCTCACATAAAGAACGGTGGACAAATGAGGTTACTATTATTATCAGTGTCTGCTGACATTTTTTCACGTATATTTCACAGTTAAATGGAGATTTAACTAATGACGTACTACACAAGAGAGTACTCAAGGATATAAACATAATGTTTGCTCCAGTTGAACATTAAATATTCTCGTTACCTTTAGGTGTATTTATTGTTTTGCGTAGATCTTCAAAGGTTGTCATATTGGGAGGGCCGCTAGACAACTTTACTAAAAAAAATCATGGGATCAATTCCTTGTAAAGACGTAAAAGACGGTTATTTTTCGGGTCTTACCACATAAACGAAAATGTAATCATGTCAAACAATGAAATATTGAACAATAACTGCTTCTTAGAAAACCGATTCTCATAGTACGTTCGTCGAAACTGATTATAATACAAAAATACGTATAAATTCGAAGGTTTTGTATTGAGAATTATGCGTTAATGCTTCTAATGATATAGCTCAACTGTTTAATCATGCAGATTTCATAAGATTTTCTGGTTTTAGAATTATTAGGAGCTTTTTCCATTTGTGTTTTGTGTCTAGATGATCCGAGTATTTCACAAACTGGATTTGAATCTTTGTGTAGTTTCAAATTCTCTACTTGTTTTTTGCCGTTACTATTTAGAAAATAACCTGTCTATTGGCTAACTAAAAACCATGTCCTTATTTCAAAATCAATACAATTAATTAGAATCTGGAATACCACAAGAATGTGTCATTGAAATTCCGAGTCTAATTAACTGAATAGGTTTTACTGTAATTAATCTATGAGGTTTATTCTGGGTCAAACAAACTGGTTATTCTAAAATCTAATCAAACAGACATGGTTTAATATAATTGCTAGATAAATTATGACTGTGATTTAAACTTGGCTGATGTAAATTGATTGGATGACTTATTTACGAAGATTTGATTGTTAACGAATAGTATTTTCCCTTAACTCCATCTAATCCAATATTTCGTGCATAATTTATTGGCAAATGTCAAGAAAAACTAACCCGAGGAAATTGAATATGCGCATACATATGTTCAGGAAATTTGCAAAATTCAACAAACGTTACGCGTACTCAAAGAACAAATAATCAGTAAAAATAAACAATTTATTTGATTAAGAGGACAAAAGTTCGGATGTACAAAACAAGAATAATAATATAACCAATTAGTAAGTGGTTTTCTATGGAATTCTCATCCCCAGCACTTTTATACCAACCATTATATAGAAAATGGACTTTGCAATTGGAAGTTGATAATTATTCAATTTACTTAAATTTCTAAACTTAGTATCAACTTTAAGTGATTCATGTTATTTTACAAACTGGAATATCACCGCACTCATTTGCTCCTAGTTATTAGTTTATATTACTGATTTATTTTAAGCAGTTAACGAGAGGTAGTGGTACAAACTGAAATTTATCAGCAAAGTATAAACTCATTTGTAATGGTTGTATTAGATCTCGTTGATGTTAAGAACTGCAATCGATCAGTTTATTTTTGAGTACGTGTATCATGTACAGATTGCTTCAAGATGGCTTTTAAACTGCAAGCATTTTTTAACAGAATTAGTCGCAGTGGTTAACAATGAAATGCAGGTCGCGTCTTTTGTCCTGTTTAAGATCCCTTAGCTGAACGTACCTCTATTGCCGTATTGATGTTCACATCGGAACTCGAACGTACTACTACTACGTCGTAACACATGTTCTGAATTCTACTGATAATCTCTATCCAAGTCTGTTTTAAAATGTTTATGATTTTTAACTTTATTAATTCTAAATGTATAGTTTCGTTTTTAAAACTAATAAACGTAATAATTCTATTATTGTATATTTTTAAAACTTTCGTTCAATCTTCATTTTTCTTCTCACCTCTCTCTTAAAATTGACACAAACCAACTAGATATATTCAGAAATACATGAACTTCCTTTCACACATTTCGTTGGATTCGTTTCGTTCTACATCTGTTCTGTTCTAGTTGCCATCAATGCACATGTCTGCAGCCCGTCATAACAAGTAAAGCACCTTTCTTAAGACACTAAAGATCTAGGTTTAATCCAATGTGCGTTCTAATATGCAGAATGTTGGGCAACACATCTATATCCTTATACGTTATAATCCTAAATATTTCATCATTTAGAAAAGAAGTAGTCGATTGTTAGGTGTACAAAAAGGTTTATAAATCTCATGGTTATTTATTTCTATACCA